ACTCTCCCTGGGGGCCATGGCTCCCTGGTCAGCGCAGACCCTGTTGTATGCTGGCCCCTAGGGCACCCAGACTCCTGCTCCCGGGCAGGCTCCGGGAGGGAGACCAGAGTGTGGCTCCTGCTAGCTCAGACGTGTCACTCTGTCCTGTATCTACAGCCTGTCCCCTGAGCTGGACTCCCCCTCCTAGTTAGCCAGCAACACCTTCAGGGCCAAGAACAGGCCATCATGAAGCTCAGGGGCCAGTGCGTGGCTGGGCAGGCAGGGGAGGGCTCGCTTTCGGCTCAGGGAGTCTCTGGTTGGGCTAGCAGGGGCTGTGGAGGGCTGGCCTTCCAGCTCCTCTGCTGACCAGCCCTGGGACTGGAGCCATTTACCTCCCCTCTCTGGGCCTCGCTCTCCTCTGTGCAATGGGGTGATGCTGAATGATCCCTCCCATGGCAGGAACATGTGGGGTGCTGGTGATCGACCTAAGCTGGGCACAGAGCCTGGATTGCAGAGTGCAGTGGGGGATGGTGAGCGGTGTCACCAGTGAGTACCCCTCCCCCCCAAAGCAATCCAGCCCTTCCATGCAGCCCCCAGGCCCCTGGCTGGGAGCCCAGGAGCAGTGGCCGACCACACTCCCGACACCAGGCCCCTGTGTGTGGCTCTTCCTCAGGAATGGGGATGTGGTGGGGACCCCGTGACACGGGGCCAGCTCCTCTCTCTGAGGGAAGAAGAACAAAGAAGCCTTTCCCTGGGGTCCCCCAAGGCCACGTAAGAAGGGAGGAGGCTGCCCCTAAACAGTACATTGAAATTCTGCTTCTGTTAGAACCTGAGCGTTGGGGTTTGGTTCTTTCACTTGCTGGGCTGACGAGACACACATGCTCTCCATGACTCCTCCTCAAATGAGGAGCTCTTGCAGGGTCCCAGGCATCCTGGACCTGGGGAGGGGAGAAGGGCCAGTCCCCTCCCTGGCTCCTGAAGGAGGCCTGTCCTCCCAAAGACAGGATGGTTTCGGGTCGTGATCCTGGGCCAGGGCTGGAGACAGCCCCTCACTGCTCCTGACTCTGGGGCTGAGGGGGCCTTTCTCAGGCACAGCAACGCCCACTGAAGGCGGGGGCTTCAGAAAGAACACACTCCTGGACCCGGTCCTGCCCCAGGACGGTGGCTGCCTTCCCCAGCTCTGGAGGAAGAGGGACATCGTCTGCTTCTTTGGGCAGTGGTCCTCTGACCCACTAGCAAGCACTGGAAAGTTTCTTGTCTGCCTCTGGAAGTGCACCAGGAATGAGTGGGCCAGTCACTGTCCAAACACAAATGTGGACAACGTGCTAAGGTAGCATGGGAGGTGAATCTGTGCAAATGGTCTGCGGGTCGGTGGGGCTGGCTGCTTCAGTGCCCTCCAGTGGGCCCCCTTTCCCTGGATGGGAATCCTCCTGGAGTCTCGTCTCCGCCCTCGGAGCTCCCTTCCTGCTGGTTTCAGGACCAAGGGAGAGACTGTGGTGTGGCTTGGAAGGCTCCACCCCAGCCTCCTTCCTTCCGCACACATCACTGCTCCCCAGGAAGCAGGGGCTGTTGCTCCCACATGCCCTGCACAAGGCTGGTTTAAGGCACTCATTCCCTCCAAGGCCCAGCCGCTCTGGCTCCATCACATACATCGTGGCCACAGCTGCCTGGCTGGGTGAGGAGTCCAGGAGAGCTCTCCTTTCCCACGATCAGGGTTCATATTCCTGGCCAGAGAAAGAAATCCCATCTGTCCTCTGCTAGAGGTGAATTCCTGGGCCGGGTGGCCCTCAGGTGCCTGAGGACATGGGGGTCCCCTGCAGGTCCCCTGGAGAGAAGGGTGACGGGCACCCCTGTCTGGGAGAACAGTGAGCAGCACCCATCACCTAGCACGCTCGTCCTCGGACTCACGCCCGGAAACTCTGGCTCGGTTTTTCACAGATGTGTTTTCAGGAGTGTTCAGCACAGCGGTGGTGGGGAGAGCAGGGAATGGAACACAAATGCCCATGGAGATGGATGGAATCCAAGGTCCTGGTGCACAGGGTGGAGAGAAGGCTGTGGGGCAGTAATGTGGGTACGGGGTCTCTATGTGCCAAGAGGCAGACCCTGGGGTCATCTTATGCAAGACTAGGGACCCACTGTGTGCATCCAGGAGCTGGCACATACGTTCTGGAACCAGCTCTAACAGCAGCCTGGCTTTTTTGCCTGTGGCTGCAGAGAGTGAATGAGAAGAAGCCGCACTGCCTGGGGTTCCCTCCCAGCCTGCGGCATAGCTATTGGCCCCTGGATGCAGTGAGTAGCTCGGCTTGGCTTGGCACGGCAGGGGCGCCCTGTGCTGACATCTTCTGCCCAGCCCTGCCAGTCCCCGGCCCAAATCCCAGCTCCACCGTTACAGACCAAGCGGCCTGGGCGCGGTTCTTTATGCTGGGGCCTCCGTTACCCTGGGGACTGTGGAGAGCAGACACTCCCCAGGCGTCCACCCAGTGGCTGTGCACATTCCAGGAGGCAGAAGAGATACAAAGCTGAGGAGCCCGGCCCATTTGGTGAGGGAGGGGGCTCCCAGGGTCACCTCCCCCATCTGCCCAAGGGGCTCTGCAGTACCCAGCTCCACGGGAGAGAAAAACAGAGCTCCTGGTGTGTGGCCACAGGACATGTGCTGCTGAGCAGGGGCATGGAGCAGAGGGCTGGGGAAGGTGGGTGGAAGATGCCCCCTCCATGGGCAGGTGTGAACTGCCTTCTCGGAGGGACTGAGATGCTACTTCGCTTCCCCCAGTGTGGGGTTCTGGTCATCCTGTGCTGGGTGTTCTCAGCAGGCAGGAACACACTCTGGGGTCCCCATAAGCTCGGGCCACATCCTCAGCTTCCTGAGCTCAGCTCTGGCCAGGGACCCTGCCTGGGACTAGGGGACCGTGGATGCTGAGCTGGGGTGTGGCAGAGCCGGTGA